TCACTGGCTACCCTGAGGCCCCAAAGAACACTTTGTCCGTTGGAAAGAGGTACATTAAACACTTAAGGTAGTAACCTAAGTTCTCCAGTGGTACTAATATCCAGCACAATTTAGTGACTGGGTGGGTGGTTGAAGCACAGTTAGGAAAAAAGTGCTGAGCTCACTACAAAAGGGACTTCGGACTCATTCTGCCAGGCAGGAGTAGCCAGATCACGGCAGCGTCTGGCCTTTGCCCCTCTTTAGAATCTCATTTTTGATAAATCCCTCTGCAAGAGCTGGTGTAGGACATACAGCCTTACCAATAATGTATCCCTATGGCAGCTCCCTCAGTGAGTCCCCAGCTCAAGGAATAAGTTGCTAGATTTAGGTATTTTTCATCCACCGTCTAGGGAAAGGACATGAAGAATTTTTTTCTCTGAGTAGTTTTAGGAGCCTTAGCGACTGTTTGCACACCCTCAGAAGGAGTGAATGCTTTGCCAACTCTGTAGAGGGACAATCCAAAAAAAGGAAATCTCCTCTTTGGGCTATTTTCTAACTGCATATACGTGACACCGTGATGCCTAGGTCCATCTTCAATCACTCATTTTGAAACAAAAGATGTGAGGGCATACGTGGGTTCTTCTCTAGAGAAGCCATAATTCCAGGAGCCCAGCGACTGTCATGCAACCCGGGGCAAGCGTGGGAAGAATATGATGGCCGTGTTCGGAGAGGTAACCCAATCGGTCACCACAAATGCCTCCCTTTCACCTCTAATCAGAGCTCTGAGGTTCAGCAAAGGAGTACCTACACAACAGCAACAAAAGGCTGGTGAAGGCATCTCAGCCTCTTTCTTCTGGCAAAAATTTCTGTAGCATCCAAGCTAGCAAAAACTTTCTGTTTTGGGAAACAACAGATACATCAAGCATTCTGGCAAAGCCCAGGAGAAATGACAGTTCAGTGATGTTGAAAAGAAAACTATCAGGGAGAGATTAGTTTGTCTCACAGTCTTTCTTTATGCTCTCTGCCGAAGAAGAACAAGAGTCCTTTCATGCATATTGAATTTACTTATAGCGTGAATCCACTTCTGTCAGTAGGTCTGTAAGCGTTGCCAGTTTAGAGAAATGCGTGATCACTGCTGTCTGGCACCTGCCCTCTGCACGCCTCTAAGAGCCAAAGTTTTCTAGCCGCTTGTTCTGCTGCGTACTCTGCTCGTTTTACGCTGGAGCACCACATTTTGAATATAGCATTCAGGACATTTGCTGGGCTATCAGTTCAAAACTTTTTCTTCATCGATAACTGTGCAGCACAGCTTTCTGATTGCCCTCCCCTGTCCCAGGGTTTGACGATGGAGAGCAGGCAAAGCAAAACCAGATCTCTCGCTGGGATCAGGGGCTGTGCTGATACAGAGCACTCTCTGCAGGGGCTTGGCACCACCATCATTTCAGCTGACAATTATTTGAAAGCGAACCCTGTTTCCGCTGATGCCTCAGTGCCAGACCATCCATGGGAGTTTTGATAGTGGAGTAGCTCCTGCTAGGCAGGCTGCACAACTAGACGGGGGCCCACAGGCTGTGAAAAGCTCAGATTCAGGTAATGGAGATGGAGGGAGGTAAGGGTGCAATCTCCTGTTAACAGGAGGCAGTCCCAGCTCATCACTCCCACCACCTTGCAGAGAAAACAGCCACCAGCACTGCCGGTTGTCAGGCAGCACCTCTCTCAACACAACACACCGGAGCTCAGCTACTGCTTTGCAGCAGCTGACCCTTGCATGCCGCGGTGTTGCAGCTTGTGCAGAAACCATAATCCCTGAGCAGACACAGCTATGCTACAACCATTCTCCTGAGAATCTGTCCAGGTAGCAGATGTGTATCACATGCTGGCCATCCAGTCTCCTCCCAAATCTAAGACGTCCATGAGCTCGAAGCTTAGATACAAAGTCTGAGGTCTAGAAGATTTAGGTCCTTTCCTGATAGACATGATCACAAATGAAAGTAGTATGGACTTTGTTCCTGGCTCCTGCTTTTCTTCTTCACGTCCCTCTGGCAACCCAAAAGTGACAGCAGTCCAACCGAACTGGTGGCTCATGGCTTTGCTGTGAGGCAGTAAAACCCAGGAGGTACCAGGAATGGCATCTCAGGCCCAGCTGTGTCACGGACAGGGGAACGGATGGCATAACTGGAGGGCTAGTGCGGCCCAGCAGGCTTTGGTGGCTGGGCACCTCTTTCGAGGCACTTCTGTGAGCTGGTGCCCTACAGAGCAAGCCTGGTACTGCCTCTGTGGCCCCTGCTCAGCAGAGGACCAGCGCCCAGTGGCTTGCAGATGAGGATGTCAAGTGGAACAGCAGTAGCTCCCAGGAGCTGGCCTCGTACAGCTTGGGGAAGACAGCAGAACAGGCCTCCCCATGTCCTCTGGTCTGTGGGAGGAGTGGATGGTCCCAGCCAAGCACGTTAATGGTACCTGCGAAGAAGCAGTTTGATTAAGGCTCTGAAAGTTGCATCCAGTGCCAGCTCTGCCAAAGGTCAGTTTATGCAACCTCTCAGTTATCTCTGCAACAAAAAGGTAACGATGCTTACCTACCTTTAAAGGTAGGATTAAAATACTCAATGTTCTGTGAGGGCCAACGACAGGCTACAGCCAATAGTAAAGATAAGACTTGCATTCCAGGTTTTGTGATTTCCAACACAGTTCCCCTTCTGGTAGGCTAAAAATCATTTTGTCAGGGAAGGAACAATTGCTAAACCAATTCTGCTGTGCACCTGCATGTGATCTTTTTCTACAAGTAGCCAGGATGCAAGTGGATATTCTCAGCACAGGGAAGGGCACCTCTCTCTTTTCCTTTACCAGCCTTCTAGTTGAGAGGGCAAACTGCAAAGGGGGTAGAATGGCTCAACCTATAGTTACATGCTCTTACATGCTCCTGTTATTTATTTAAAGCATTGACAAAAGTACTTATTTTCCCCTAGCATGTGTGTTAGAATAGCTGAACTGAGTTTAGCAAATCTTCCTGCCCAAAACATCAACCTGAAGCAGAGTCACGAAACCAGACATGAAAATTTTGGCAGATTTATAAGGAACTAAAAAAAGAGGCTCTGCCATCTGCAATCTTAATAACTGTAGAAGCACTTCAGTTTGCTTGACCCACAACATCAGACACTGTTGACCTCATTGCTTGCCACAAAATCATGATGCATCCCTCAGTGCATGGCAGCATCACCTCAGTGAGCCTAAAATAAAACCCACAGAAAGGTTTTATGTAACGCCAAAGCTACAAGATCTCTAATGTAGTTTTCTACCAAGAAAAAGAGCCAAGAACAGCTTAAATTCATTAGCTAATGGCCTGTGACAATGAAGGACAAAGGCAATTATTATGCACATCTCTCAACTGATTGTTTCAGTATAAAGAAAATGCAACAAATTATTGTTCTCCCATATTAATGTATCATAAAGGATTACTAACACACCTATTTGGAAAAATATATCCCTTTCAAAATGCAGGTTAATGCTGGATAAATTCGATTTTTATAGATGAAAGCTTGGTGGAAAATCAAGATTTTATTAGAGCCACAGACAATCACATTACACTTTTATATGATATGAAGACTTCACTCTTGAATCAGGAAATTGATCTAGGGAAATTTTTTCTCCCAAAGACTTATCAATTCCCTGAGCATCTCTTATTGTATCTCAAATACTTAGCCTGAGATGCAATAGCCAGAGGCATTCTTAATATCTGTTTTTATTTATAGAAAAATCAAAAAATATATGTCACACGGAGTCTTTAAAATGAGGATCCCTGTATAGTAGCTATGGGTACATTTCTTTCATTGGAATGGGAAAGAAGTCAAATTTGCCGTGCATCTGGAACAGTAACAAACATTATTTCACATCTATGTCATTAACACAAACTTTCCATCAAGCTTCAGTTTAGGAAAATCATAATTTTGCAAGACGTTGAGACTCATAATGAGCATCAAGGCCCACACAGAAATTGAATCAGATTTACAGTTAGATAGCCGGAAGCCTGTGGGTCTGTTTCTGAAATGAAGAAAATGACGTCCTAATATGGGAAGGGAAAGGCATCTCACCAGTTTCAGCAAAACGTATGCTACGTCAAGCTCCTTTTCATTTTTTTAGTGCTGACAGGTGAAGTATCAAGTCATGCTGAGGAGAGGACGCCTCACCTGAATCTGCCAAGAGAAGTAAATTCAGACTAAACAGGATCCCACAAGGTCTGCCATGGTTTCAGGGTCTCATCCTGTCCCCTTGCACATGAGTGAGGGGCCTGCCAAGTCTCCGGGAGGCTGCCAACACCTGCTCCTTCGTGGAAAGGGATACACTACCCCCGGCTGTATTGCGTGGCGCCGAAGGAAATCCATCGAGGTGTCTGGCCGCTCGCACCAAACATGGCCATGGCTTTCTCTTAGCTACAGTGACAACTGGAGGTTTTCTGAAGCTGTGGCTGCTTCTCCCATGCTCGCCCCTTGCTAGCAAGACGCCAGCTAACTACTGTTGACAGAGACTTCTCCCAAAGACATTCTCCCAGAGGCGTTCTTCTGTGCTGGCTGTTGCAACAACACTATTGATTTTCAGTTGTAGCTGGATTCTATAAATAGTTTTGTTTCTGCTTTCCCCAGACTTGCGTTCAAAGCAGTTTCCTGGTGCCTGGCAAACAGCAAGGCACTCTGATCTTTCACATGGCAATCCTTAAAAGTAGTGCATGGGACTGGCCACGTACTGCACAGCAGCCCAATATATCTGCTCCAGCACATCCAGACGGCAAAAGGTTTTGCCATCTTGAATAGGCTGGGAGACAGTAACACATGCATATTAAAGGTGGAAGAGTCCTCTAGTGTATAATGCTGGCCAAAAAGGCTCCTTCTGCAAAGGCTTTGTAATCCGTCCCACATCCATCCTGAAACGGACAGAGCTGAGGGTGGATTTCAGCATCCCAGCATGCTGCAGGTGTGCAATGATACTTTATCCCACAGGTTCTGAGGCGTCTACTCTAAGGTTTTACCATGTTGTTTCCCCTCTTCCACAGAACAGTCTTCAAACGTTTCCTCTTTGCAGCTGACACATGTATTATAAGCTACTGAGACTGTAATAAAATGCGCAATATGGACTATATATACACACACATACATATATATATATATATGTATATGGAGTGTTACAAATTATGAAATTCAATGTCACTTTGTAGAAGTCATGAAAACTCTAATTCCCAGTAACCCCTCTAGAGACTCGGGCATAAGTTTATACACTAAAATGTCAAAATCATAAAAACCCTGATTTTCCACTGCTTATTTTGCACTGTAGTGAGGTAGCTATCCCATTACATTTCATAAATACAGTGACTCAGAAGTCATTAGTATGCTGAATAACAAGCTTACCACGACAATGCAGTGCTTTACATTTTAAGCGACTGGTTTTCACAGAGCGCTTGCACTGCCCACTTTAAATACTACAAATAAATGTGAGCTCTGGGGGAAAAGTGTTGTTGCTGGGTTTTGTGTTTTGTTTTTTGTTAAGGGGAGGAATATCGCTAATAAGAAAGCTGGGGTCGTAGTTACAAGCAGTAGTAGACGCAGGTTTTCTGAATGGCAGGGACAAAAGAGGCAGGCATGTCCTGCTGCTACAGCACGAGGGAGAGCTTCCAAGAGAGTATCACGTTCGGGAGACTAAAACTAGCATACACACTGAACAAAATCATTCCTTGAAGGAAGGAGAGCCTTTAAACTGCTTGTAATTAATGGAGAAACAGCACTGCATACAGCTCTGGTCTAGCCAAAAAGTCTTCCAGATTTTAACTGCTCAGAGAATGGTGCTTATATTTCTCCTACTTTTTTTTTTTTTTTTGTAAAAACACACAGTGGATTTTTTTGCCTTTTTTGGATATTAACATGCAACCAGTTATAAATTGTGAGTTGCAGCACTGGATAATTTCCCTTCAAGAATGCCAAGCAGGTCCTGTGTTGTATCAGCCCATGTGACAACACAGCAACTAACATTGTCTCGGGCATTTTTTAGCCACAATTTGTAAACAGTTGCTCCGTAGGAAAGCTGAAGTAAACCTTCATCTTAGGACCACTTAATGGTACTCAGTTTTAACCTGCTGAATGTCCTACTTAAAAATGAACAGAAAACCTAGCATTTAGCTCAAATTCTCAGGAGTGGAGATTCATATCAAAAATAGGAAACAGCAATATCATCCACTAATTTTATTGTAGGCACTTGCCTCAGATTCTCTCCTTCTTTCTGGTATTGTCCTGGTCCCACATAGAGAGCTCCTTTTTGCTGTTTGTCAGAGGAGACAGAAGAACAAATTTTAAAGAGTAAGGTTTAAAAAAAAGAAAAAAGCAAACAGTTTGAACTTACATTTCAAATGTGCATGTAGATACAATATGTATCACACAGCAGCACTGTCTCTATTGCTGTGATTTACTATCCATCCACACATCCAATACAGACCTCAGCTGCATGGGGTTTCAACCACGCAGACATGCTCTTTTTCCTTTTATATTTCCTGAGACAAAGTATTTGCAAAAGAACTACCTCACACTGAGAAAGATGTAATTATTAATATTTTTTTAACGTTCACCTACATAAGCCTTAAGGACACAGGTTGGGCCAAAATGAACCTTGAAGTAGGCAGCTGCATCTCCACCAAGCCCAACGACAAGCACTACACCTGCATTTGGAAAACAATATTAAAGCTATAAAAACACTACTCACTATGTGCAGATTGGGATGTGCATAGCCGTTGTACTGATGGCCAAAACTGTTGGCATGAGCGCAAAGGACATCCTCGGCTTTGCCTCCCTGGGGTGGGGCACAAGCAGCGAGACCAAGCAGTGCTGGTGGGGCTCACCTAGTGAAGCGCAGAGATCTGCATCTGAGCAAGTCTGTCTCGAGGTGCTTTTCCAGGGACACCCATTCAACAAGGTCCAGGGGGAGGGGGGGTCCCTCACTGCTAAAATCAGCCGGATGAATTGCACCTTTTAATGCTCCCATATGAGGGCTAGTTGCTTAGGCAGGGAAGTCTATGTTTCAGGTGTCTCAGGGACACCTGAATAGGCCAGCGGAAGGGCCAGGAATAAAACTAGGCCTTCTGTGTCATAATATCTGACACGCTAAATATCAGTGTTTATGCCTACTGTACACCGCCTTTACCGTTAAAAAAGCCTCTTCATTGTGGAAAAATTCCCTTCTACACCGAGAAGGAAAAATGCTTCCCAAGACCAGGCTATACTTTTTTACCTTAGTCATAGGACTCAGCCTTAGTGGGTGTCATAATTTGATTTTGGCTAGCTACCCTGAGAAAAAAAAAATACTCCTCTTTGTTCAGATGTTGACGCAGTTTACACATAAATGAGAACCAGGACCTGTACATACATATATACGCATTTATCTACACATACATACAGAGATACACTGGAAGGGAGTAAAGGTTTTACCCTTGCGAGCTTGATTTTTGGGACCTAGACAAGTTGCAAAGTCACTCAATCTATGAGAGCTATTTCATGAAGGTGGAAGTAAACAAGTTTTCAGAAACAAATATTTGAGGAAAGTTAAACCTTTACTACAGGATAGACTACCTAATCCTCAATTTGCTTGTTTAGTTAAACTGTTATGCATAACAGATTCAGAATAACAAAAGTTCTCAGTTTTTGTGTATTCCTTTTATTACTACTATTTACTATTTATTACTATTATTATTACTACTATTCCTTTTATTACTAGTATTACTTATACTAGTCAAGTCTAGGAAACATAGTAAATGATCGCTCTTCCAGTAATATTCATAGAGAAAATTAGGGTGAACAAATATTGTTGTAACACTAACACCAGGGGTAACTGAACAGAAGACTCTTCTATTCAGCTGAAGCTTAAATTTAGTTAAGCTGAAAAATAAAACAACAACAAACTGAGGCAATCTAGTACACAAAAAAACTGAAACAGCCATACTGCTTCACACCTACAACACTGTGAGCTGAGACCATAGCTATGATATCTAATTTTGCCTACATGCAAGCAGTCAGCGTTGGTAACCCTCAGCAGGGAGTTTCAAAACAGCTTCCAATATTTGCAAAGTGTATACCAATATTTGCAAAGTGTATACCGTAATTTGTGCTGCAATGCCTGGACACACCAAGGGATTTAGGACACCTCACTAATCTTGCTTCAGGACTGCCCGATACTTTTCAGTGGGATGTCGGCACGTCGTTTCTATACAGGCCTGTTCAGGTACAGAGATCCCTCTGCTTCTCTCAACATATGCATGTCACCTTTCAATGTAGGGCTATTAGAAACAATTTCCAGTAGTGCCTGCAATTTTTCAAGGTCTGCATTTGATGATAAGTTCCCAGTAAGGAAAAAAGGCCAGTCAAAGATTAAATATCCCAATTAATCCCTGGTCCTCATTTTTTCCTTCTGTTTCACCCTTCACTCTCTCCTCCATCATGCATCAGAGATCTGAGTTGGTGCAAATGAACTTCTGAGTGCGCAACAGCACAACCTACCTAAGCACCAAGCAAATAATTCGGAAGCGTGATTTTCTTATGTTTTTTTTCTTTCTCAGGACCCTAAGAATTTTCCCGGGATCTTGCTAAGGAACCATTGTGATTTGCCTGTTTATGTAAAAAAAAATTCATATTCCCTTGACATGTTGAGAATACAACATGCCAGAAATAACTTGCATACTTTTGAAGGTCTTTCTGATTATGAAAGTCTAGCACGTACCAGCTTTATCAAGAGGGCTGAAACAAGGAACTCAAAAAAAGCCTGTCCAATGACTGATCTAGTTAATTTGCAAAGCTAACTCATTAAATTAACAGACGTGCTAAGTCTCACAAGAAGCAACTGCTGCCTTATGCAAAAGATGCAGTGCGCTCATCTGGAAAAGGAAAGTTCATATCTCTTAGCTAATCATCACAAACTTCTTCCAGATACTTCTTATTTTGGACATGCTCCACATTACTCTTTTCCAAGCCAGGATTTTCCCGGCCAACACAAGCCACTGGGAAATCCTATCTCCTCTCACGTTTCTGCTTTTCCAGCTCCAGCCAGGCCTGGGTGGTTAAGCAGAAGCTGGCTGAAGGGAACAGCATTAATGTCCCAATATGTGGCAATATCTATTGGAGAAGAGCATTCTGGAGTCCTGGTCTGAAGGACTGCCATGTCTCTAGGACTCAAACGGTTTTAGCCAGCTCTCTTTCGTTTGTAGCTTCTCTAGCTCACTGCAGCACAATGTTTAAGGTTACACATAGGGAGAGGTTTCTTTTAAGACTCATATTTCCCTCATTACTAGTTTTGTAAAGAGCTTGCTCATTGCTGCAAGAAAAAGCTGTGAAAGTTGGGGATATCAGAACATTTTATATAGGAAACTTACCTTGTAGGCAGCCTCTTGTAATATGGTTAGTTCCTAAGTGAATATCAGAAAGTCTAGCACCTTTGGAGAAACATGTCAACATTTCAGGATCGCAAGCAATGCACAGTCACCTGTGCTTATAGGCACCCGAGGCAGCTCAGGAATGACAGCACTCATTAAAAGCACTTGTTGATGGAGCAAGCACACCCAAAAGCACCCGAACCAGATGAAAACCAACTCGGCTCCCGCGGGGGATGCTT